CACTCACTAACTGTAAGTCGCTCTGGATAAGAGCGTCTGCTAAATGACTAAAATGTAAAATGTAAATGTGTATTGTGTGTATTGTTGTGAATTGTTACATACTAGTGCACTGTTGGAGCCAGAAACACAAGCATTTCGCTACACCCGCAATAACATCTGCTAAATATGTGTATGTGACAAATAAAATTTGAATTGATTTGATTTGATTTTGATTTATAATGGCACAGATACAAAGATGAGTCCTCTATCTATCTCTATGACCTATTCATACGCATCTGCCCTCTCATTGGCTAGAATGTTCCCACCTGATATCGCCTCCTCCCACCTGCCTTCCATCTTTGAGGACATGTATTTCCATTGTTAGAGCAGTTCGTTAACTTTCTTGTCAATATAATAGACATAGTTATGGCAAAATCCCGCCCATTTCTATAATGTATCTTCTTAAAGTCTGATTTTAAACCTAACCCTTACCTAACCCTTACCTTAACCCCAACCTTAACCACGCTGCTAACGTTATGCCTAATCCTAGTCTTAAATGAAGACCAAAAAGCACATTTTGGTTTTCATGAATTTTTTATGAAATAGCCTATTTAGATTTTGTGACTGTGTTAACTAGTGACAACCGAATGAATGTCTGGGACATTTGACCGCCACACTTGAATCCAATTATTTTTTTGTGACCTGAGTTATATGCCATACAAATGCCATACAAGTACAGTATGCCAGTTCTTCTAGTTTCTATTTCTTTTTTGGGGTGCACAAAGACAGGTTTAATTTTGTCAATGTAGTAGAAATCGTATTATAATTGTGTCATTTACTGTAAACACGTTATAGAGAGGAAATATAGTGCTTTCTATGTAACCAACATATTGTTAAAGTGCAAAAACGTTTTTTAAATGATCTAATCTAAAGATTAATTATATTGCACTGGATGTTTAAATAATTAAGACTTGGAGTTGTAGGGCTTTCTTAGGCCCTCTTCATTCTAATGTCTTTAATAACTGGGTGTAGCCATGTCCAGCTGCATATCCTCTGAGCCAATTGGCTCCTGTCTCATACATAATGCTGCAGGTGGGAGGGGGGAGGAATGGCGTGCCACTAAGGGGCAGCCTTGTTCCTGTTCCCAGGGCCGCTGGAAACAGCCTCCCTCCCTCCACCCTTCTTTCCTCCTTCTCTCTCTCTCTGGCTTTCAACAACAGAGCCTGGCGCGAGCCTGTGAGTATACCAACCAGGGCTTTAACTCAATGCTGCATCCACCGCACAAACAGACAATGATGATAGTGCAATGCATGCATCATGATCATTTTGATTTGATTTCCACACACAAAAACATGTTACTGTACTTTTGGTTGTTCTGCCCTCTTCCTTCCCCACCTGAATAAGTGTCTGCTTGAGGAACACTGTATGGTATTATCCTCCAATGGCTCAGCTGAAGCACTCATTCTTATTCAGGAGAAAGAGAGGTTGTTTTGTTTGAAGACACTAGTAGCAATGTGATAGATGAGATGACAGAAATAGAAACTGTCACTCCTCTGAGACATCTCATTTATTAGAAATAAGGACAGTTTCTGTTTTTGTGCCAGATGAGTCATAACTCATAAGCAGTTTGGTTTGATTTGATTTGAAGGTGATGGTGGGTAGGGAGGGGTGTGGCATCTTCATTAAGGTGACAGTGTCACAGTGGATTTGAAGGGTTGACTGTCACCATCCTCAGAGCACGAAACCTAAATTAACCAGTAAATACTGTAAAAAGTTATATTTTGCAGTTACACAACTACACACACACAATCATGATGTTGTGTTATGTATAATCAATGCATCATGACTTAGTTGTTTACTTAAGTTTCCAGGTTTTTTTTATTCACCACCAATAGCTGTAGGGTTAGAGGTCATGTAGGGTTAGATCTGATTGACCCACTGACCTCAAATTATCAATGGGCCAATTACTGTTTTCTATACTTTTAGTAGTGTATTGAACAAAGTATTAAACTTTACATTAACTTTCAATCATAAGGGCTACATAACACTGTTATAAAAATACATGATATATGTAATTAACGGCCATGACAACATTAATTAGCTAAGACAGTTGGGTAATTTTAAACCTAGCCAATTAGCTGATCATGGCATATGTCATCATAAATCATAAGCTGACTACTGTTTATAACAAATGGCAGTGTTATAACAGTGTTATAGGCCTGACAGTGTAATGTAGCCCTTTTGACAGAGAGTTTATTCAAGTAAAGTGTTACCAAATAAAGTATGAGTATGAAGACTGACAAATTACTGAAATACATTATAGTCATGTCATGGACAGAGCTATTAACATAAGTGACATCATTGTCAGTAAGTAGGCTAATGGACAGTGAAATATTTTATAATGGGCTTGTCAATCACTCTGCCACAAGAAGACATGATGGAGACTTGTGTACAGGTAAGATACTCCTAAGGGTCCATATTGTAGTGGTGAATAGTGAAAACACAGCTTGGGTAGAGGTAGATGAGCACAGGTCTATAAACCAGGCATGACAGGTAAGCATGTGGTGTAAAAGGAGATAAGAATAGAGTGGTACATATAGCTGAGTCTTGTGCAACTCAAGTGCTGCTGTCTCTAACCACCATTGTTTGATGTTATGACTGACTGCCGACATTACGAACTGCGCAGACACAGCACAGCATAGAGGAACACACTTCACATAACAAGATGATGATTCAACAGTTTACTTCAACTCGATTTCTTGACGGATATGTAAATAGATAGGCTTTAAATCATGTTATGGTATTTTTCACGTTACAAATCTGTCTAAAAACGAAAGAAAGATGGGTTTATTAGGGCTTTGAGACGCATGAATGTGTTTGATCTGTCGGGGCGCTGTTTTGACTGTGTGTGTGCGGTACACTGCAGGCCCTCTCTCCCTCCAGGCTCATGCGAGCGAGGCTGAGCAGGCAGCGCAGTTCTTCCGTAGGCTTCAGTTTTTCCACTCGACGAAAAATATCGCATATTCGTCTTATGGAGAGTGTGAATACATATCTTGCCTTTTCGAAATACAGCACTGTTATTTGATTAATAGCTTTGCATATTTGATGGTTGTGTATTTATCTAGGACCCCCCCCTAGATGTGTACTTTCAGAGGCTTATTATTGGTGCTTTACAGCACACTGCCTATCCACGGTGTCTACCATTGTATCATTTCATTTGCAACAATCCACACAAATAAGCCAATACGTCATTAAAACCATATTTTGATGTTCAGGGCAAGATGGATTCATTATTGAAATTAGCGTTATGGCACACTGTCCCCCTACACACACTAGTTACAGTTTCCCGTCGTGAGTCTTTCATCTGTAACCTGTCATATGATAGCCTATACACTAAATAGCTTACACTAAATATTATTGTGGAAAGTGGTTTCTTCGAAGGTTTGAAAATTAATGTAGCTTTGCATTGAGGCTTTTGAATGTTTTGGATGGATTGGAAACGTCTGCGTAATAGCGGTTAAATTATGTGCGCTTTGATGTGAACTTTATATCGAGCATATTTTAACACTTTGTGGCCTGTTTTTTGTGAACAGACTCCATTTTGAAGGACCCGGTGAGCAGAGGAAATAAGGCTTTGCAACTCGTCTAAAGGAAAGGAAGCCATCTGTTTTCCGGGTATAGCCTATATTACAATGCATTTAAATGAAGACATAATCCTATAATTTAAAAAGCGCATGAGGTTTCCATTTGGGGTATGATATGATGCCATTGTTGGCACAAGTTGAGCAAATGGCACGCATGTCATTAGTGATTAATGTGAAAGAGAGTAATTGGAAATTCATGTGATAATTAAGCGAGGATTGGACCAGTAGATAGGAATATATGCGTCTTTTTTCCATCCCACATATCTTTATGATTTTTGGTGGCACTCAAAGCCTCAGCAATACTTCATGCTGGAGGTTGGGAGGTAGTGACGATTGGTTTGCTCTTATAGACAGACACGGGCAGTCAGGGGCTGCAAGGGGCAGGTCGACAGCTAGGAAATAGTAATCATTTATTATAATATGCATTGAATATGAGGTAACAAGGAATTAGAAACGTATAGCACAGTATGATATGTCGCTGTAAAGGGGTGGTTCTCTCAGTAAGTGAAATGCATGCATATATTTATCTTTTGAAGGGGCCGCCGGTGGAGTAACAGCTATCGCAAGTAGAGACAGTGGATGTCCACAGGATCCTGGCCTAGTATTGCTGCTACTGGGATTCTCCTCATCCGCTTTCACAAAATTGGGAAACAGCACATTTAACTATATAAATTAAAGGGTTGACAGTTGTTTTTGCGGTGACGGACATTTCAATGGTAAGATTATTGCGGCATATCATTGATATCCGCGTTTTTTTGTTGAAACATTCCGTGATTGTGTATGTACAGTAGACATCTGTCGATGTAAGTCTGTACGAATGTGTGGCTGTGTGAACTTGTGTGTCCATACTGTATTGTAGCGTGCCAGCTATGCACTATCTCTGGTGCCTCGTGAGCCATGGCACACAGAGTTGATGCACAGGCGACAGGCGCTGTCAAGAGCTGTCCATTTTATTCATGGGCATTCGCGATTTCTACATCAGCCTTTTAAATCAATTTAACCCTTCGTTGTCGCTGGGCAGGACAGCGTGTCATTACAGTTATGCTGGTCTAATTTGAACATGATTCTACGTTCTTGGCGGGGTCGAGGATTGGAATGATGACGATATTGTGGCTGCCTTATACCTATTTTCATTCTTCACCTTTTTTTGAGGTGGGGCAAGATAACCATCTCACACTTTCATAGATACTGAAGCTCAGTAATAATAATAGATTATAACTTTTTATCATTAACTATTTTGCCATGCTCTTTGATAGCTTACAATAAATAGACTATCATTATAGACAACAAAGTGTATGTGATCAATAATTGCAAATCCATGCAATTAAAGTTGCTATCAATTTTTTAAACCTATTTCTGTTTTATTTTTATGTTTAGGATGGAGCCATGGCAGCATGAGTCGGCCCTATGAACTGCCCATCAAAGATGCTCAGGCCTGCTGCTCTGACCTAACATTGACCTCTGCCCCCAATGACCCTGTCTCCCCCTGCTCAAAGCACCATAACCGCAATTCAAGACTAGACCCTCCACATGCCATGCAGCTGTCCACCGCCCCTGCCCTCAAATCTACATCCACCTATGGGTTCATCAAGGACCTATCTTCCTCCTACAGCCCTCTGGGAAGGCTACAGCACCTGACCACCATGGTCAGCCACCCGGACCTGGTCCTACCTGGAGTCGGGGAGAGGGCCTCCCAGGGCTCCAGGGAAGACTCGCATACCCGGAATGCTGTAAATTCCTTGGCCCTCACACCTCCCCAGCCAGGCAGCAGAGACACAGACACCAGTAAGACTAATCTTAGTGTGGAGAAGAAGAGTGACTGTTGCTTCTCTGACCCACCCAGTCCAGCCTTCTCACTGGATAGCAACAGCCCCTTTGCGAATGGCTACCTGCATTTTGAGTCCACTTTGTTTGATGATGATGATGATGATGCAGAGGATGATGAGGATATAGCTTTACCTCTGACAGACAGACAGAGAAAGGTTGGAAAGTCACCTGAACCTCTTCCTGGATTTTTAAACTTGAAGGTCAAAAATATACCGGAGCCAGGGCTGTCTGTGGGTAAAGGCTTGCAGTCCCCTGGTGTCCCCCCATTTACAGCACATGATGGGTCAAACGAGGACTGGGGGAGTGACTGTGAGCCGCTCTCTCTTGGGAATAGCCCCTCTGGGCCTGCAATGGCAAGTCCTACTACTGACCTTTTACATAACATGGCTATTCACAGCAACATCATACAGTACCCAACAGCCCTCATATTTAAATCCTGTATGTCACAGTTCTGGCCTAGGTACTTCCTTGTCAGTCCATATCACCTGTTTTACTGTGCAACATAAATTGTCAAGCTTATGGGTTTTGATTGTATGTGAAATGTTAATGAAGATAGTGAGAGGCCTAAATTCTGGTTAATTAGCCAGAAAGGTCAAGCAAGGTCACTTCCTCTATAATAGATAAGCTCCTCATACTGTAGCCGGAGAGGATCCATGTCATTCAGTTCCTGTTTGGCTCAGTATACGCCAGCATCTCATGGTAAATTATAGTCAATAGTTCTACCTTTTGCAATCAATAAAAGATCTGCACAGAGAAACGTCATTAGTCAGCCCATATCCAGAGCTTTGTTTATTCTCTGGGATGTTTGCATGATCAGTTGATAGGGTGATTCCTCATTAAACTAGAACAAAAAATGACCATGATTTTTTGGATATTCACAAAATGTAATCCATAGAAGGGTTCGTTAGAGGAAGGATTCTTGACATATATTTGACATTTGTATCTAAAAGCATACCACCCAGGCCTCCTTTAAGACTCCTTAATGTTTCATCTGTATGTCCTACAAAGCAAAAAATGGTGTCATATGAAGCTTTACCGCTTGCTCTGTAATATGAGTAGTATTTTGATTTTAAGAAAAAATGTCTTACATTCATTTATGAATATTGAAACATATCAACATGAATATTGAAAATAAACCATATTTGATTTGGCAAATGTTTTAATATATTGTTGAACATAATATGTTCTACGGGCATATCAAAGTTCCAGAGTGGGATCTCTGCTGGTTTTAAAGTTATGGCCCATTTTATACAGAGAAATTGCCATAGTAGGCAATGTAACCACAGCCCTCCTTGTTTAATTGCACATCCTGCAATTCATGAGCAGAGGGCGAACATTTAAAATCCATTTTCACATTCACTGTGTTGGTAATGCTTACAAATTGGATCATAACTCTAAAAGTAGAAGAGATCCCACTCTGGAACTTTCAATGCCCGTGGAGTTTATTATGTTCAACAATATATATTACATTTTTTTGCCAAATCAAAAGATTTATATTTTCAATATTCATAAATTAATGTAAGAAAATTGTTATTGAAATCAAAATACTACTCATATTACAGAGCAAGTGGTAAAGCTTCATATGACACCATACACCTGGGTAAGGTCAAAATGTCACAAATATTCCAACTTTTAATTAATTAATTATGTCTCAATTATTCTTTAAGATACAAATGTTAAATATACTGTATGTCAACAATCCTTCCTCCAAAGAACCCTTCTATGGATTTAATTGAGGGAAAATCCCTCAAATCATGGTCGGTTTTATTCTATATAGTTTCGTGAGGAATCACCCGTTAGTAAAGTTGACTGACATCTAGGCCAGAGAGTGTGCACAGAGCTGATATATGCATTTAGAGTGTTTAAAAAACATTTCTTAAATATTTTAAAAGATAGTTGATTATATAATATCGGTTTGCACTATGTTGCATCTGGTGAAAATTAGAATAGAGTTGTAAGGATTTAACTTTACCTATTCACGCCGGCTCTCTCATGCGCCAGCAATTCGAGACTGGGGACGAGGTTAAACTTTACCTAACCTAATTTACCTCCTAATACACTTCAATAGCAACCAGATTGGTTGTAGATGTATCATGACTGTGGTCCTGGCCACTCAGCAACATATAGTCTTGGAAAATATTGGAATGCTTGTATATGTTTGAAGATAAAGATTTTGACCCAATTTTTACAGACATATTTGCATATTTAAATGAGCATGTACATTCTGATATAGTAATGTAATACATAACATGATTTTTAAACCTTTTGAAACATGTCTTGAAGTAATTTAAATATTGACTTATTTGGTGTCTGTCAACAGATGGGCAGCCCAAAGAAGAAGTCCTTTCCACCTGTAAAGTTTTTAGAGGGTGAAGTTATATGGGCAAAGTTCAACCGAAGACCCTGGTGGCCTTGTGAGGTGACCGTTGACCCACTACAGGGAACCTACAACAAAATGAAAGGTATGCCCTGGTCCTTGATATTATTTTAACAAGCCATTGTTTGGTTTGAGCTGATCTTGTTGAACAGATTTGCACTACCATGGAAGTCTTGTGTTTCGCATTCCACTTTTCATATCATGCTCTTGCAAAATATATGTTATATCTGTGATAAAGGTTAAATTAATATAAAATCTACAAACACTAATACCAAGTGGCCTTGGTCCTTTGCTCCTGTGTGATGATGTTGCAGAGCCCAGTGACAGGCCTTGTCGGCAGTACCACATCAGGACCTTTGGGCAGCCTGTGGAACTGGCCTGGGTCACAGGGAAAGCTATACACACATTTAATGGAGGCTTTGAGTTCGAACAGCTCCCCTTGCTGCGCAGGAGAGGAAGGCAAAGGGACGAAGACTACAAATACATTGTAATTATGTGGCACAGCTTTTGTATATGTTGGACAATAATGAATCATGTTTTAACTGAATGTATCTAAAAATACAAACATTTGTGATTACAGAAAAGCTTTATTTGCCTTCATAGATACCCAAGAGGTTTAATGCATCTTGGAAAACCAGTGTGGCTGAAGCAGAATCTGTCCTCCCAGAGCGACCCAAAATGGGTGTCTCTATACCTGACTCCCTATCTACAACCCTCTATGATGTGTCCACATCAGAAAAAGAGGGCAAGGCTCTTCCAACTACCCCTTCCAATCCACCCAACTGTATACACCCTGCACCAAGCAACTTAACAAATGGAACTCTGTCACCACACAGTAAACATTCCCCAACAAAAGGAAGCACTTCCAAGAAGCCTCAAAGCAAGAAGAAGCCAAGTAAAGCATTTAAATCTATAAATGAGTGCTTGAACACCAAAACAACATTTGACAGCACTGACAAGCCAGAGGGGGACATAAAAGAATGTCCGTATTCGGACCTTGACTCTATCCCCAATATTTTGTGTCCTAAAGCACTTGAGCGTCAATCCAAGCCCGCTCAGACTCAGCCCTCAGTTCCAGTAGTAAAAGAGGTGAAGAAGCATCCTGAAGGACACAGTCGACTGTGGTTCAGCAAACCAGGAAAAGACAGGCGACTCAACACTACCGCCTCCTTATCTAACCACAGTGCCTTCAGCAAGGGCCCCTGCAAGAAAAAGACTCAAACTGCAGCTGCTGTCAACAGAAAGACTCAAGTGTCCAGTGCGGCCATCAAGGAATGCTCTATTGATCAGTTGAAGACTCCAGTGTCCAGTGTAATAGTCAAAGAACACCCTGCTGATCAGTTGAAGACTCCAGTGTCGAATGCAACAGTCAAAGAAATTACTGGTGATCAGTTGAAGACTCCAGGGTATAGCGTAACAGTCAAAGAATGTCCTGTTGATCAGTTGAAGACTCCAGTCTCAAGTGTGCCCGAGCTCCCTGATGAGTCGAAGGCCCTGCGCAAGCAGCTTGCACATCTGCCAGCTAGCAACCGCCTAATGACCAGAGCTCTTAAAGCTATGGAGTTAGCAGAGCGGAAACAGAATCTGTTCTTCAGCCCAAAGCCTGGCTGTTTCCTTCCTATCACCAAGACAGAGGAGGAGATGTCATCTTCCACAAACACTCCTTCTGATAAACCAGAGACCAAAACAGACTGTGATACAGAGGACAAACCTTTAAAGGTTGACAATGATAATCAGATCACTGCTTTGCCAAATTGGTCCTCCTCAAAGTTCACCAGGTTGAAGGACTTTGAAGCAGAGGTTAAGACTGAAGATGAGGGCTTCTTGATATCCCAGATGCCTGTGGACTTCATACCTCTGACTTCTGGGAAGGCAAAGAAAAATAACTGTGTGTCTGACATCTCCTCCTGTTCCTCGCCATGCTTCTCTCCCATGGACGCCTTCAAAGACATTAAAGAGTTATCCTTCAAGTCCCTGGAATCAAGTGAGGGTGATGGGAAACCTGTGTCTTTTAAACCAGACACTAACTACAAGTTCAGTACTTTCCTCATGCTGCTGAAGGACATGCACGATACCAGGGAGAAAGATGGAACTCCCTTGGAGCTAGAAATCGGACCACCCAGTGCCCATGTAAAAGAGGAGCCTTCCGTGATTCCACCCTTACTGGGAGAGGAGTCACTCGGTCAAGGCCCGAGTCTCAGCAAAAGTCAACAAGGCAAGAGCAAAACCAAGGTCAAACCCAAGTCTTCTCTGAAGGTAGAAATTCCACAACTTGAAGGCAGCACAAACCAGGGCGTGAAAAGGCTAGCCAAAAAGAGAGGCTCGTCCGGGACAAAAAAGAAACCGAATGGAAAAGTGCCTTGTGGTAAGAGGTCTCCTGGACCTGGCTACCTTGGGATGGAGGCCTCGCACCCCCTTCCGAGCAATTCTTGGGAGAAGTTTGACCAGGATTTAGAGACATTAGGGGGGGTGGGGGAGGGCTGCAGTAGGCTAACGAATGAGAGACTACAGAACATGGTGCATTTGGAGCAGGGTGGTGTAGAACCATCAGTGTCCTTTCAGCCAAAGACAGTGTTGGACCAGCAGACTATCCCTGCTACAATCTCTTCAAACACTACACAAAGTACTGGGGAAGGCCAGGAGGCTCCCACAGGTAAATAAGAGTTTTTGTTATTTCCTTGGTTTGACAGAAGGGTATCCCAAAGGAGATAATTACTGATCAATGCATTAACTTTGCTTCTGGAGTCATAATGAAAATATCAACGTCTATGAAGTAAAAGTGTCCGATGCAGGGCCATGATCTTCTGTAGATCATGAAATGTAATGATTTTACATGTGTGGCATAGTCATACTTTTTGCACACTTATCTTCAACAGCACATAAACGAATTCGAAAACCAAGCAAAAGACTCATAGAATGGACAGAAGAGTACGGTCAAGTAATCTCCACAAGGAAGAAACAGAAAAAGCCCCTCCAGTCTTTGGGAAAGGTAGATCACTCAAACATATTACATCTCTTGGATTTTCAGGGTTTTGTATTATGATCCCAGCTCTATATCCTCTTCATGTTTTTCCAGGTGGCACATTCCAACAGCAACAAACCAGATCCCCTACCATCAGGGAAAACCACACATGACCATGCCCCTCTGAACCCACTTCCTGAAATACAAACTCTGCCCCCAGATGAACCATCCAAGACCCCCACTGGACAAGCCCCTCCCCCAATAGAGAACACTCCCCCTCAGGATGCACCTATCCTGTCCATAGATACTCTAATCCCGCCCCCTTCGCTGTTGAGTGACGGTCTGACGAAGAATGTTGGTAAGAAACTATTTACATATCAAATGTATACTTTGGTTGGATTGCATAAAATTACAAAAAGGTTTCACAATGCAATGTGCCGTGAAACCAAGGAATTGCTGTTTTTATTACATTACTCCTCTGTAGTAGTAGTCATTATCCCAGATGTGTGTAAAGGTCCATAGTAACACTGTTGTCTTGTGGCAGGTGACATTCCTTACTTGGAAACCATCCATAAGAGACAGAGGAAACCAACTCCGAAGATTATGGAGGCTGCCACAATTCCAAAGAAGAGGGTATGGATGTGTTAGGGAATGGTTGTGCTTTGCTCATTAAGGATTTTTGGTATCTGATGGTTCCATTGATTTTCACAGTAAGGAAGGCCTTAAAACAGGGGTTGACTGGTTAATTATCTATTACAGGTCAAGTCCCTGAAGACCATCTTATCAAGTCATGCTGTTCATTCAGGTCAGTCTACACAGGAAGGATCTCCCTCAAACTGCCCACATTACACACTTTTTAAGAGTCTTTCTCACTTTTGAGTAAGATGAGTATGGAAATACCATCAAGACATTTGAGACTATACACTGTTTATCACAATTCTTTGTCATACTGCTGTCATTTACTTAATGATTGTCAATTCAAAGGGCTGATTGGTCTTGGGGTCAAAGTTGACTTGACTGTTTTTGTTCCCAGGCTCTGGACAACTCTCCTCTAAATCAAAGATCAAGCCACCTACGACAGCCACCCCTGCACCCTCCACATTTACACCCTGCACCCCTGCCCCCTGCCCCCCGAGCAGCCTGGAGAGCGGGTCAGACTGTGATGTCACCACGCCCCCCACTGAGGAAACTGATCTCCATGACGATGGGAGGGACACCCTAGATCCAGAGGTCAGACAAGAGGTCAAATCTCGAGCTATATTTTATGGTCCATGTTTGACCCGATAATAACATAGAAAGTACATGGTAAAATAGACATTTCTCAATAATTATCTAATCATTTTAATAACATTTAAAATGTTTCTACATGGAATCGTGTTAGTGTTTGAACTCTCCTGCTGATTTTCATTTTCTTTGCTCCTCAGGGTTTTACATCCAGTTTGGATGACAGCTTTTCATCCATGAGGGAGGAGTCTTCACTGTGCGATGATACACTCTCCCCCAATAAGAAGATCATAGGGGACAGAGGGGGCGCTGCCTCATTGAAGGAGAATGTGTGTCAGGTGAGTAGGCCTCACATCACCAATGTATGAGTGGTTACCTTATGTTGTTTTAATGTGCAATACGTGCTTATGGACTGACTGTATTTGCTCTTTGCTCATTGTTTCAGATAGTTGTGTAAATGTTGCTGTAATGTTGTCTAAATGTTTATGGTAGGTGTGTGAGAAGACTGGGGAGCTGCTGCTGTGTGAGGGCCAGTGTTGTGGGGCCTTCCACCTCCAGTGTATCGGCCTCACAGAGCCTCCTATAGGGAAGTTCATCTGCCAGGAGTGCAAGTCTGGTGGGTCAAGCACATATTCTGTAAAAACACAACCACTCTATACTCATTAACCAGGTTTCCATCCAACCTTTTTATGGGAGTATAGTACATGTCGGATAAAAAATGTAATGACAGGTCTGATGGAAACAGAACATTTTTCGGTAAAATGTTCAAATGTTGACAAAACTAAATACGCCAGAAAAGTGGGAACTTTTTGTGTCTGTAAAATGAATTATGCGAGACATGTCAGTAGAACTGCTTTTAGTGCGCAAATATTAATATAATAACCATCATATCGAAGTAAACTTGGAGTCACGCGATGACATGTTGTGTGATCCTGTGTGGTCCTCTGTAGCTCAGCTGGTAGAGCACGGCGCTTGTAATGCCAAGGTAGTGGGTTCGATCCCCGGGACCACCCATACGCAAAAATGTATGCACGCATGACTGTAAGTCGCTTTGGATAAAAGCGTCTGCTAAATGGCATATTATTATTATTATTATCCTCCCACTACGACTCGTCGGGAAAGCATGCAGTTTATTAGGCAACAGATGAGATAAGTTATGATGAACTTCACAGGGAGGTATTTGTATTTATTACGGATCCCCATTAGCGGCTGCCAATGCAGCAGCTACTCTTCCTGGGGTCCAACCACAATTTACATACAATAAAACAATACATAACACAACACCTTATTACACACTACTCTACCATACCATATTGATAATACAAAATCAATAATACAGCAAAATAACAATATTAAATTGTGTTTGTGTAGAGTGCGTGTTAGCATGTGTTTGCGAATGCTGAGTGTGTGCCTGTGTGTGTGTGTGTGTGTGTCTCTTCACAGTCCACACTGTTCCATAAAGTGTAGTTTTATCTCTTTTGTAAATCTGATTTTACTGCTTGACTGAGTTACCTGATGTGGAATAGAGTTCCATGTAGTTATGGCTCTATGTAGTACTGTGCGTTTCCCATAGACTGTTCTGGACTTGGGGACTGTGAAGAGACCTCTGGTGGCATGTCTCGTAGGGTAGGTATGTGTGTCCGAGCTGTGTGCCAGCATTCCAAACAGACAGCTTGGTACATTCAGCTTGTCTACACCTCTTTAAAAAACAAGCAGTGATGAAGTCAATCTCTCTTCCACTCTAAGCCAGGAGAGACTAACATGCATGTCATTAATGTTAGCTCTCCGTGTACTTTTAAGGGCCAGCCGTGCTGCCCTGTTCTGAGCAAACTGTAATCTTCCCAAGTCCCTCCTTGTGGCACCTGACCACACTACTGAACAGTAGTCTAGGTGCGACAAAACTAGGGCCTGTAGGACCTGCCTTGTTGATAGTGTTGTTAAGAAGGCAGAACAGAGCTCATGGACATACTTCTCCCCATCTTAGCTACTGTTGTATCAATATGCTTTGACCATGACAGTTTAGTCACCTCAACTTGCTCAATTTCCACATTATTCATTACGAGATGTAGTTGAGGTTTAGGGTTTAGTGAATGATTTGACCCAAATACAATGGTTTTAGTTTTGGAAATATTTAGGACTAACTTATTCCTTGCCACCCATTCCGAAACTAACTGCAACTCTTTATTAAGTGTTGCAGTTATTTCAGTTGCTGTAGCAGCTGACGTGTATAGTGTTGAGTCATCCGCATACATAGACACACTGGCTTTACTCAAGTCGTTAGTAAAGATGGAAAAAAGTAAGGGGCCTAAACAGCTGCCCTGGGGAATTCCTGATTCTACCTGGATTAAGTTGGAGAGGCTTCCATTAAAGAACACCCTCTGTGTTTACATTTTACATTTTAGTCATTTAGCAGACGCTCTTATCCAGAGCGACATATAGTTAGTGAGTGCATACATTTTTCATACTGGCCCCCCGTGGGAATCGAACCCACAACCCTGGCGTTGCAAGCGCCATGCTCTACATGCTCTAGACAAGTAACTCTTTATCCACATTATAGCAGGGGGTGTAAAGCCATAACACATACGTTTTTCCAGCAGCAGACTATGATCAATAATGTCAAAAGCCGCACTGAAGTCTAACAAAACAGCCCCCACAATATTTGTATCATCAATTTCTCTCAGCCAATCTACTATTCTTAGGTAGCAGAATGACTTTTGCTTCCCTCCAAGCCTTGTGGCACACACATTCTAGTATGCTTAAATTGAAAATATGGCAAATAGGAGTGGCAATATCGTCCGCTATTATCCTCAGTAATTTTCCATCCAAGTTGTCAGACCCCAGTGGCTTGTCATTGTTATTAGACAACAATAATTTTTTCACCTCTTCCACACTCACTTTACGGAATTCAAAATTACAATGCTTGTCTTTCATAATTTGGTCAGATATACTTGGATGTGTAGTGTCAGCAATTGTTGCTGGCATATCATGCCTAAGTTTGCTAATTTTGCCAATGAAAAAATTATTAAAGTAGTTTGCAATATCAGTTGGTTTTGTGATGAATTAGCCATCTGATTCAATTAATGAGTTTGCCTTTTTTCCCAACATTTCATTTAAGGTGCTCCAAAGCTTTCTACTATCATTCTTTATGTCATTTATCCTTGTTTCATAGTGTTGTTTCTTCTTCTTTTTATTCAGTTTAGTCACATGATTTCTCAATTTGCAATACGTTTGCCAATCGGTTGTGCAGCCAGACTTATTTGCCTTTCCTTTTGCCTCATCCCTCTCAACCATACAATTTTTCAATTTCATCATCAATCCACAGGGATTTAACCGTTTTTACAGTCATTTTCTTAATGGGTGCATGCTTATTAGTAACTGGAATAAGCAATTTCATAAATGCGTCAAGTGCAGTGTATGTCTGCTTCTCATTACACACCACAGACCAACATATATTATTTACATCAACAACATAGGAATCACAACAAAACTTATTGTATGACCTCTTATATGCAATATTAGGCCCAGCCTTTGGAACTTTGGCTTTCCTAGATATGGCTACTATATTGTGATCACTACATCCAATGGATTTGGATACTGCTTTCAAACAAATCTCTGCAGCATTAGTAAAGATATGATCAATACTTGTTGATGATTTAATCCTGTACTGTTTGTAACTACCCTGGTAGGTTGACTGATAACCTGAACCAGGTTGCAGGCACTGGTTACAGTTTGAAGCTTTCTCTTGAGTGAGAAGCCTGATGAAAGCCAGTCATTATCAAGCATTTCACACATGTTATCCAAGGTGATGATCTTGATGCTCCTTTCCAATAAATATTGAGGGTCTTATTCTGGTGACATGATCATCGATACTTGGCTGCCATTTGACAAATAAAAATAATCTCGCTCTTTTGTCCATAATAATCTCATCATGTAGGCTATACGTGCCAACACCAGAGTGGGCACACTCGCCATATAACGCAACATTTATTAATGAGAAAACCATCAGTAGAGTTGAAAATGCGATGGAAACCCATTTTAACTTGTATTTGTTATTCGGGAATTTAACCGCAAAAGGTATTTTTATGTGCACTACGTCATCACGGACAGCCTTTTATCTGAAACAAGTCAATTTGATGGAAACACATCTCTGCTGGGAAAATGCGCATATTGTTTTTATGAGGATTTTAGAATATTCACATGAAAATCTGTCGCCAATTGGATGGAAACCTACAGTAGCTAGTGTCATGTTTTTAAGCCCCATTCCTGCTCAGACAAAATTATGGAAAGACTATTATTAGTTGCATATAGACTTATCAGTGTTCTCTCTGATTGTTTCATACGCTATTTTGCTGATTCTCTCCCCTGTCATCCTCTCATCCTAGCATCAATCATTCTCTCTGGCTAGTAAAAGCAAATCAGTTGATTAAAGCTGATGTGTTTGTTGTTAGGTGTCCACACCTGTTTTGCGTGTAAGAAGCCCGGGGAGGACGTGAAGCGCTGTATGATCCCAGTGTGTGGGAAGTTCTACCATGGAGAGTGTATAGCCAACCAAGCTCCCGCTGCCCCACTGCACCGGGGCTTCCGCTGCTCTCTCCACGTCTGTCTGTCCTGCTTCATAACCAACCCTGTCAACCCCTCCATCTCCAAAGGTGGGTGCTGCTCTGCTTCACCTAGCACAGTTCAGTTTAGTTTGGTTCAATTGCAATCACCTTATCTTGGTAACTCCACAGGAGAAAGGATGATGTTGGAGTTAGTAAACAGAAACATTTCTGCATGTGTTTGTGCTAAAATAATTTTTTGCACAAGCAATTCAGTTCATTTAAACACCATGATAGAAAGACAAACTAATTGAAGTGAGCTGTGGGAAGTAAATGTATACCAAATATTCTAACTAACAGCTCATTCTGCCCGTCTCCCCTGTGTTGTGTGTCCTGTAGGTCGTCTGACGCGCTGTGTGCGCTGCCCTGTGGCGTACCATGCCAATGACTACTGCATGGCAGCGGGCAGTGTGGTCCTGGCCAACAACAGCTTCCTGTGTCCCAACCACTTCACCCCCCGCAGGGGCATCCGCAACCATGAACACGTCAACGTCAGCTGGTGCTTTGTCTGCTCCGAAGGTACGCCGGCCTCCACATATGTTGGGTTGTTAGAGTCAGATATGCATAGATACACTCAGTAAATTCATACCTATTATGTAATGTACATTACATGATCAGGGTCCAATTTTCGCAGAACACGTCATCAGCGTTTTTATATACTAGAGCCCAGTTACATCTCTGTTTACTCCTGTGTGTTTTCAATCCCGTAGACCAGTTCAGTAGCCAAACTGTTATTCCTCTCCCATGCTCCAGGGGGCAGTCTGCTGTGCTGTGAGTCGTGTCCTGCTGCCTTCCACCAGGAGTGTCTGAACATCGACATGCCTGAGGGCAGTTGGTTCTGCAACGACTGCCTGGCCGGGAAGAAGCCCCACTATAAGGACATCCTGTGGGTCAAAGTGGGCCGATACAGGTCAGTACAGCCGCCTGGGTACCAACCTTACTGGCTCAGCATTGGTTTGGCAAAACAACAACAAGTTGGCTAAAGCAGAAACAGATTGGCATCCAGCATATTAGTAAAAGTTCTCCCCTGCCTAAACCACGTTCCCAATGCTAAAGTATCCTAACTCTGAAGTGTTCTGACATTACTAAACAACCAAGGTACTGAGAACCAAAATACATCTGCATTTCTATTCACAATATGGCAGTGGTTGCAAAATGGTAGTGTTTTTCTGCCATGGGCCGTGACCCATTTTCTTTTCTTATTCATATCGTCTTTCCCTTCCTATCCTCTGTCTAGGTGGTGGCCTGCGGAGGTCAGCCATCCCAAGAACATTCCGGAGAACATCCTACGTATGAGACACAACGTAGGAGAGTTCCCTGTGCACTTCTTTGGTTCCAACGACTACCTGTGGACCTACCAGGCCCGAGTCTTCCCCTACATGGACGTAGACACCAACAATAAGGAGAAGATGGGGAAGGGAGTAGACGCCATCTACAAGAAAGGTATTCAAACCAACAGACCTGGACAGAAAATAGTTGTATTTTGTAGTTTATTTGAAAATACCAACTTTATATTCGAGGTAGTCGAATATAGTTTATATAGAGTTTCAACTAAAGGAAACGTATTTTATATTTTATAAACAATATAAAACATACACATACAAACTACAACATCATACAAACATCAACTACATCACACCTGCCCTGAAGACTAGCACACACACACATCTCCAGCGCCCCAATCACTCTATGCCACATGGCCTTAAAGTGCACCATTTTGTTTCTCTCCCTCGCCCATGCAATTTAAATTTTTAGATAAAAAGCATTTGACCTTTCCATTGTGTTAATTTCCAGTTTTTAAGTATACGTTTTTTGAAAATGATTGACGAGAAAAGTATTGTCCAACCAAATCAAATCAAATCAAATTGTATTTGTCACATAAACGTGTTTAGCAGATGTTATTGCGGGTGTAGCGAAATGCTTGTGCTTCTAGCTCCGACAGTGCAGTAATATCTAACAAGTAATATTTAACAATTTCACAACATATACCCAATACACACAAATCTAGTAAGGAATGGAATTTAAGAATATATACATATATGGACAAGCAATAACAGAGCGGCATGGACTAAGATACAGTAGAATATTATAGAATAGAATACAGTATATACATACAGTGAGGGAAAAAAGTATGTATTATATTATATTTTGTACGTTTGCCCACTGACAAAGACATGATCAGTCTATAATTTTAATGGTAGGTTTATTTGAACAGTGAGAGACAGAATAACAACAACAAAATCCAGAAAAAACGCATGTCAAAAATGTTATACATTTATTTGTATTTTAATGAGGGAAATAAGTATTTGACCCCTCTGCAAAACATGACTTAGTACATGGCGGCAAAACCCTTGTTGGCAATCACAGAGGTCAGAAGTTTCTTGTAGTTGGCCACCAGGTTTGCACACATCTCAGGAGGGATTTTGTTCCACTCCTCTTTGCAGATCTTCTCCAAGTCATTAAGGTTTCAAGGCTGACGTTTGGCAACTCGAACCTTCAGCTCCCTCAACAGATTTTCTCTGGGATTAAGGTCTGGAGACTGGCTAGGCCACTCCAGGACCTTAATGTGCTTCTTCTTGAGCCACTCCTTTGTTGCCTTGGCCGTGTATTTTGGGTCATTGTCATGCTGGAATACCCATCCACAACCCATTTTCAATGCCCTGGCTGAGGGAAACCCAAGATTTCACGGTACATGAATGGGTGAAGTTGTCCTGTCCCCTTAGCAGAAAAACACCCCCAAAGCATAGTGTTTCCACCTCCATGTTTGACGGTGGGGATGGTGTTCTTGGGGTCATAGGCAGCATTCCTCCTCCTCCAAACACGGCGAGTTGAGTTGATGCCAAAGAGCTCCATTTTGGTCTCATCTGACCACAACACTTTCACCCAGTTCTCCTCTGAATCATTCAGATGTTCATTGGCAAACTTCAGACGGCCCTGTATATGTGCTTTCTTGAGCAGGGGGACCTTGCTGGCGCTGCAGGATTTCAGTCCTTCACGGCGTAGTGTGTTACTAATTGTTTTCTTGGTGACTATGGTCCCAGCTGCCTTGAGATCATTGACAAGATCCTCCCGTGTAGTTCTTGGCTGATTCCTCACCGTCCTCATGATCATTGCAACTCCAAGAGGTGAGATCTTGCATGGAGCCCCAGGCCGAGGGAGATTGACAGTTCTTTTGTGTTTCTTCCATTTGCGAATAATCGCACCAACTGTTGTCACCTTCTCACCAAGCTGCTTGGCGAGGGTCTTGTAGCCCATCCAGCCTTGTATAGGTCTACAATCTTGTCCCTGACATCCTTGGAGAGCTCTTTGTATAGTTTACCTATCATGTGAATATCCTTTTCTGACTCAAATAGGATTCCATCACGATTGTTCTGATGTCCAAAAGATTTCAAATTGAAATTTCGTGATATAAAACTTTTAAGTTGGATGTACTTGAAAATATCTACATTGGTCAATCCAAAATTGCTTTTTAAAGCTGTCATGGAAATACATGTATTTCCTATTATCAAGTCATTTACGTTTTTTATGCCTTTAGTTTTCCATGTGGACCAATTTATCGATGAATTCTGGAAAGCTATCCAAGGATTGTTCCATAGGGTTGTGTTTTTAGGGAGTGATATTGGTTCTTGTAGAATATGTTTCATTTTCTTCCATGTTGTTATAATGTTCTTAACTATGAAGTTGTTAATGTTCTTAGCTTTATCCTTTGAAAATAGACACATAAAAATATTCGGAGGGATGAGTATGCGCATCTTCATTATGTACCCATTGTTCCTCTTTAGTGCATTTAACTATATGTCGCAAGTAAAAGCCTTTGGTGGCGAGTTGATACAATTCCAAGTCTGGAAGGTTAAAACCACCCTCAGACTTAGGAAGATGTAATACTTTCCTTTTTATTTTATGAGTTTTATTTGCCCATATGAAGTCTGTTATGACCGAGTATGCTTTTGTAGCCCTTTCCTGCAGTCAAATGACCTAGTAGCCTCATGGGTGGAATGTTATTAATATATTTCAGAATTTCAGAATTAATCAACATTTTTAAAAAAGTTTAAAAAAAGCTGTTTCTATGTTAAACAGTTTTGTTATATTTCAGTCTTCTGTGATCTATATAAAATGTAATATTGGGATGCAAACCCAAAATTATACTCTATATCTGACATGGTGCAGGTGTCTTCTTTTTTTTAAGACCATAACCATGTGTGTTTGTTGTATACTTTTGTTTCAAAGTAGATTTGTTTAAGATTACCAAGAAACACTGTGTGACTCTGATTTAGCCCACTGCAGTAAAAGGTTATTAAAGAATGTCTTCGTGGGGTAATTGGTATTACCGAGAATAAGTATAAAAACGTTGGGAGCCATGCAGGGACGGCATTATGGGAGGGCCTTAGGGGGCCTGGCCCGCCCTACCGTACCTCCTTGCCCGTCCAAATAAAATATTGAAATATTGATCATTTATTTGACCACGACGCACACCAACAGAAAGACGCATCAATCTCAGATAAAGCATCCGAGTGAGCGAAACAACGCTCTCTGGTCGTGTCTACACTTGACACTTACATGCGACTTCTGCTATCAGAATACGAAGCTCGCATTGAAAAGACGGGTCTAGACGCACAAAAGTTGCTTTGTGGTCTGATTGTGTTCAGATCTGCCTGACCACTTCTGGAGGTGGTCAGGGATTTCTCCTCAGTCTGGATGCAGTCAGGCTACCGAAAGCGCATACAGCACTCCTCCCACAAGTCTCCAGAAAACGTGTGTTTTGGGACCGAGAGGCACCTTTTCATTATAATGTTGGAGGAAATACATTCCTAGGGTGGGGGGAACGTGTTTGCTGGCCTCATAAATGCTAGCCAGCTAGCTAATATTTAGAAAAACGTTTTTTTTTGTTTGGCAAGAGTTATGCTAACTCGTTTGCAATCCCTCTAGCGTTACTAGCTAGCTTGCTGGCTAGCTACAGAGCTTAGCTGGCTACTTAGCTACAGTAGTTAGATACTGCCATCAGCTGTTGTTTTGCCTATTCCACTGTTTGTAGAATGCATACTGGCATTTGAATATAGCACGGGAATGGACACAATGTGGACATGGTGGACACATTTAAATGTAAATGTAAACGCATTACGTGTTCGGAATTCCATGATCAGAACTCCATTATCAGAATACAAAAGCGTCATGAACTGTCAATTCTAGCAAGACACGGCCTCTTTCTCACTATGTGTAGACCATACATATCTGATGCTGTCTGGACCAAAAGAGTATGGCTTGTCATACTATTTCTGTCCAGACTGGATTAGACACATATAGTAAGACAGAGGGGCGCTGTTTCGCTCACTCGGATGCTTTCTCCGGTGAGAAAGTTTCAGCAGAGAGGAAGAGGCGAAGTGAGAGGGCTCACTCTTGCCAAAATCTGTCCAGAATAAGCCCAATGCGTTTCTATGGGCATAATATGCAGACCTAAGCTTGTCGTCTGCCTTCCCACCTTTGGGACAACGACTCTCATTGTTAAGGCGGAGACATGAGCATCTCGTCATTATATACACATTTTATTTTTTTTTATTTTTTTATTTCACCTTTATTTAACCAGGTAAACCAGTTGAGAACAAGTTCTCATTTACAACTGCGACCTGGCCAAGATAAAGCAAAGCAGTGCGATAAAAACAACAACACAGAGTTACATATGGGGTAAAACAAAACAAAGTCAAAGATACAACAGAAATACATATAATATACAGTGTGTGCAAATTTAGCAAGTTATGGAGGTAAGGCAATAAAGTAGGCTATAGTGCAAAATAATTACAATTAGTATTAACACTGGAATGATAGATGTGCAAGAGATGATGTGCAAATAGAGATACTGGGGTACAAATGAGCAAAATAAATAACAATATAGGGATGAGGTAGTTGGGCGGGCTAATTTCAGATGGGCTGTGTACAGGTGCAGTGATCGGTAAGGTGCTCTGACAACTGATGCTTAAAGTTAGTGAGGGAGATAAGTGTCTCCAGCTTCAGAGATTTTTGCAATTTGTTCCAGTCATTGGCAGCAGAGAACTGGAAGGAATTGCGGCCAAAGGAGGTGTTGGCTTTGGGGATGACCAGTGAGATATACCCGCTGGAGCGCAGACTACGGGTGGGTGTTGCTATGGTGACCAATGAGCTAAGATAAGGCGGGGATTTGCCTAGCAGTGATTTATAGATGGCCTGGAGCCAGTGGGTTTGGCGACGAATATGTAGTGAGGACCAGCCAACAAGAGCGTACAGGTCACAGTGGTGGGTATTATATGGGGCTTTGGAGACAAAACGGATGGCACTGTGATAGACTACATCCAATTTGCTGAGTAGAGTGTTGGAGGCTATTTTGTAAATGACATCGCCGAAGTCAAGGATC